GGCGGCCGCGGGCCGAGTCTGGCAGCGGCAGGGAGGAGAAGAAGGGGCGGTAGAGGCGCTGGAGAGGGTGAGCCACTTTGGACTTTTCGGATTCGGTCCTCTAATGCCTAATGCGCAAATTGTTCCAGAATGCAGTATATTAGCCAGTAAAATGAAAAAAAGACACGAGCGTTTGAGGCTCTGCGTGGGCCTGTTCCTTTTAGCTTTTTACCCATCTCACAGTAGAGAGGTGTCTGTTTTTATTTATTTATTTGCGTCGCGAGTTACACGAGTACGGCAGTTAGCGGTGTGCCACCTAGCACCTTCCCCTTCTTCTGCCACGCCTACAGACACGTAGTAAGACAGTAGAGTGTGCTCTGAGGACACGCCATGGGAGCCGATGTGAGCCACACTCACCCGAATCCCCGAATCCAGAGAGACGGAGAGGAGCGAGACCAACCACAAAAAACTCTCTCCCCGGCTCTCCGCGGGGTATACCCCCCCCCCCCTCTCGTCTCCCGCGGCTCCCGCTCGGAGCTGCACCCCGCCGGCTGCTGGCGTTGGCCGGGGGATCCGGCGATCCGGCTTCTGCGATCTCGGAAACGGGTAAAATGACGAAACGGAAAGGGTTTGTTATCGTTTTTTGAACCCTGCACAAAGATCGCAAGGGCGGGGACCTGTTCCTTTTTACCCATCTCACAGTAGAGAGGTGTCCGTTTTATTATATTTACTTGTTTTTACTTTTTTCGCGGCGCGGTGTGCGCAGTGTGCGGGCGGCGCGGGCGGCGGACGCCGGACCGAAACCGGAGCTCTGCGCCGCTAGCCCTGCGCGGCGCGCGTCCTCGACATGGCGGTCCTCGAGTTACACTCTATACGCGCGACATTATATAGCCAAAGAAACGGTCATCCCTCGTCGCACGGGGCACACATTAGGTGCGCGGCGTCCGACGGGGCGCCGTAGTCGGTGCAAAAAACGACGACGTCCTTTCCCGCAAAGCCAAGGCGCGCGGAGCGGACGGCGGGGTGCTTCTCGAGCAAGTAGGCGACAAGCGACGGGTGTGACGTCACCGGCCGGCCGCTGCGGAGCCGCCGGCCGGGGAACAGGCGGGAGAAGACACAGCAGGGCACGACGGCGAACGGCGTACGGGCGGCGAGCGCCGCGTCGACGATGGCCTCCGTCACCTCGTCCGTGTGCAAGCCGACGACGAGCGCCGCGCCGCGCACGAGGGCCATCCCTGCCTCGCCGCCCGCCTCTCCAAACAGCTCTCGCCGCACGCCAAAGGGCTCGCAGCCCGACTTGCGCAGCAGCTTGCGCTGCCACTTTGCGAGCGCCGACGGACGCGGGTCGATGAGCGTCGCCCGCTGCCCGGCCAGCGTC